ACGCCTATAGATCTACCTGTGTCTTCCACCTGCCCCCACACATGTGAGTATTGCCCTTATGAGTGTGAATATTAAACTCTATCTGGTCTTTAATTCATGTGAGTATTGCCCTATTCTTGTTTGCACATATGTGAGTTTGGTGTCTATTGCCCTGGCCCTCCTACCCCTGGCACTCCTACCCCTGGCCCTCCTACCCCTGGCCCTCCTACCCGTGGCCCTCCTACCCCTGGCCCTCCTACCCCTGGCCCTCCTACCCCTGGCCCTCCCCTGCCCTCCCCTGGCCCTCCTGGCCCTCCCTACCCGTGGCCCTCCCCTGCCCCTGGCCCTCCCTACCCGTACCCTACCCGTGGCCCTCCTACCCGTGGCCCTCCCCGTGGCCCTCCACCCCTGGCCCTCCTACCCCTGGCCCCTCCTACCCCTCTCCCCACCCCTGGCCCTCCTACCCTGGCCCTCCCCCCTGGCCCTCCTACACCCCTGGCCCTCCTACCCCTGGCCCTCCTACCCTCCCCCCTGGCCCTCCTCCTACCTGGCCCTCAGGCCCTCCTGGCCCTCTACCCCTGCCCCTGGCCCTCCTACCCCTGGCCCCTGCCCCTGGCCCTCCCCTACCCCTGGCCTACCCCTGGCCCTCCTACCCTGGCCCTCTACCCCTGGCCCTCTACCCTGGCCCTCCTACCCCTGGCCTCCTACCCCTGGCCTCCCTACCCCTGGCCCCACCCCTGCCCTCCTGGCCCTCCCCTGGCCCCCCCTGGCCCTCCACCCCTGGCCCTCCTCCCCTGGCCCTCCCTACCCTGGCTGGCCCTCCTACCCCTGGCCCTCCTACCCTGGCCCTCCCTACCCCTGGCCCCCTACCCCTGGCCCTCCTACCCCTGGCCCTCCTACCCCTGGCCCTCCCCACCCTCTGGCCCTCCTACCCCTGGCCCCTCCTACCCCTGGCCCTCTACCCCCTCCTACCCTGGCCCTCCTACCCCTGGCCCTCCCTACCCCTGCCTCCTCCCACCCCTGGCCCTCCTACCCTGGCCCCTCCTACCCCTGGCCTCCTACCCCTGGCCCTCCTCCTACCCCTGGCCCTCCCTCCCCCCTACCCCCTCCTACTCTCCTGGCCCTCCCTGCCCCTGGCCTCCCTCCTGGCCTCCCTACCCCTGGCCCTCCTACCCCTGGCCCTCCCTACCCCTGGCCTGGCCCTCCCTGGCCCCCCCCCCTGGCCCTCCTACCCGTTAATATTCCTAAGGTAGTCATAATTATTAACTCTTAAGGTAGAGTTTCCGCCTTCCTGGTTCCCTTAAGAGGGTTGTATATATAGGGTCGCTATTTTCGCCCCCTCTCCCTCCCCCTCCCTCCTCCTTCCTTTACCGCTCCACCTCCCCTCCTCCCCCCTCCTCCCTTCTCCCCAGTCCGTCAGAGAGAAATATTTAATGTACGAACCTTCCAGAAACCATCTTTGTGCCGTAAACTAAATGATATAGTTAAGGTGTACGTTCTCTCACCACTGGCTAAGGGGACCAATATTTAACTTGCTAACCTTATCAAAAAACAGGAAGGTGGGTGGGTGGGTGGGTGAGGTGGGTGGGTAAGGTGGGCCTCTCAGAGTTTTCTACCTAATTAGTTTACCGAGGTGGGCGAGGTGGTGTGAATCAGTACAGGTAAACGTAATTGTGTGTCTCCCCTCTCCACTACTCACCTGCCTGACCACACCTCTGCATAATCTACCTTGATATTAATTTAACATTTTTAGATTTATTTAATATTTACTTTAAAGAATTTTTGTTACTTGATTAAACTCAGGTATTTTAGGACTACCAGGTGTTGCATCAGGTATTTCAGGACTGCCAGGTGTTGCATAGTCCTGGAAGTTTTTTTGGGAGGTTGTTGTTGTGTTGCCTGCCATCGGAAACACATTGTATATATATATTTTTTTCCTGTTTTGTTGAGTTGTCTGAGGACCAGAAGCTGTTTTCCTAGACGACGCATTAGTAACCTAACCTAACCTAACCTAACCTAACCTAACCTAACCTAACCTAACCTAACCTAACCAAACCAAACCTACATACTATCCTTCCCTTATTTAAACATTTCCATACTATTTCCTTAATTAATCCCAAGTTTTAAAATTATGGCCACCTAATTTCTCTCTCTCTCTCTCTCTCACCTGCACTAATTACCAATACCTGTGAAAAATACATACCATAAATTAACACAACAGGTAGATAATATAATTAGACTCTACAGGTGTATTTCTATGAATCAATTAACCTACAAAATACTACGAATTGTATAAAAAAAATAACCCATTCAAGATACAGTCACTCAAAAAAAAACTATCTATACAGAATTAAGTCGAAAAAATATGACACAATGGACGAAGGATTTTGACAACCCTACCGAGACAACAGGAGTCATAGTGTTCATTCTGAGATTCATCGATCACCACAAGTCCAGATAGTTGTTGATAGTTATTGGAGTGGTTGTTTTCTTGCGTTCATAGGTACAGGTGTTGTTGTTTTTGCGTATATTTACACTAATTGGAATGGACACATGTCAGTTGTGATAATAGGGCGTATATAACTGTCCTATGATGAATGTTTGTGGTCTAATGTGTAAATAATGCGTATATATATATGAAGCGTTTAAATGCGTATATTTCAGGTGTAGGGGAGACTGAACGTTGAGACATCTTGACGTATATATACCGTATGATGTATATGCGTACAAAATGCGTATATACATGAAACCAATAAAGCGTATGTATAATTTCAGGCAAGAGAGACACCAACAGTGACAAATTGGCGTATAAGTATATATACAAAAAATGCGTATAATCTGTATATTCTTATATTTTATTATTGTTTCAGTTACGCAGTGGCGGACGCAGCTCACAGAGGCGTATGGGAGCGTAACATGGATCAGGTAGTGGTGGTGACGGGAGAGAGTGGCGCAGGCAAGACTGAGGCGGCCAAGTTGGTGTTGCAGTATGTCGGCTACAGCTGTCATAATAACAGGCTACTGCAGTCTAACCCCATCCTCGAGGGTTGGTACTCTGGTGGGCTCTGGTAGGGGTAGTGGGGAATGGTAGGGGTAGTGGCGGGGTTGGGTAGTTGTTTAAAGAAGCCAGCCTGATGCGGTGGCCCACTTACACGTATTGAGCGAAGGGCTTCACATGGTCGTGCTATGTCTAATGTCTTATAAGTGTGTGTGTGTGTGTGTGTGTGTGTGTGTGTGTGTCGCTTGGTAAGTTTTCTGGGATCCAAAAAAAAATTCAACTCGAGGATTTTGGATCGAGGCATAAAGTTGAGATAAAAAAAAATGTTGTTTTATAAATTGAAGCATCTTGGATAACTCATTTGAGGAGGAAGCGTTATATGGGGGAGGGACAGACTCATTAGACTAAACCATTGTTAACTGAAGCGTGTTTTGTTTTTGAGGAGGAGCTGAAATGTTGTTCGTTACAAAGGTTTACTGCCTGACTCGCTGTGTTACCCGAGGCTACGTGAAAGACACTTGCGGTGTGTTAGGTAAGGTGGTCGACTGTGTGAAGCCTTACTGCTGAGTACTTACCTCTGATACTGGTGCCACCTGCTCTCTCTCTCTCTCTTCGCCAGTGAGAGAGATGCGTGACGCCACCGCTGCCGCTTACCTTGTGTAGGTCTAAGCAAACAACATCAGTGTTGGTTATGTGCAGCGTCTGGCGTAAGGGTCTCTTTTTTAACACTCCCTGTGGAAGTATCTTGAGGCGGACCTTCGCCGGAAGTAGTTTCCTTCCCCGTCTTCCGCCAGCACTGGCGTTTATGGTGCCATTAATAGTTCACTCTTTTTACTCCTCTTTTCTCTACTGTTACGGGTCAGTAACGTCACACGCACCTTCGCCCGGCTTCCGCCAGCCCCGGCGCTTGTTTTATGGTCTGGTCTGGTCTTAAGTTGGTCTCCCTCCCGGTCTTTTGTCTACCACCCGGACAAACATCCTGGACCACGACCTCCAGTCTCACACAGTCCTTCTGGAAGCTTCTCTCGCACTGGTGACGTGTCTCACTAACCTAAGACAAACAATAACTGGCAGTACTGTAATTCCTATGTTAAGTTTTTCCTCTTAATTTGTGATATAAAAACGTATCTAACTTAATTAACCTAAGACACAGAATTTATCTTAGGAACCTTGAAGACTCCAGGCTGGTGTACTCGGCCCCGCCAGCTGGGTCCTGGAGGTCAACAAACAAGCTTCTCTCCTTCCTGCGGGATTTTCCTCTTTGTCGAGTTTTTTTCTTTATTCTTCTAATGTTTATTTCTTATTTCCTCTCGTTCTTTATCACTTGCTCCAGATGTTTGGTGTTTTTTCTTGGTCGTTTTGATGTTTTGGCGGGTTGTGTGTTGATTGGCTGGATTTTGGGGTGGGTTGTGTGTTGATTGGCTGGATTTTGGGGCGGGTTATGTGTTGATTGGCTGGATTTTGGGCGGGTTATGTGTTGATTGGCTGGGTTTTGGGCGGGTTATGTGTTGATTGGCTGGATTTTGGGCGGGTTATGTGTTGATTGGCTGGATTTTGGGCAGGTTATGTGTTGATTGGCTGATTTTTTGACGAGTTGGGTTGATTCGCAGATAATTTCGGTAGCGTGCGTGTTCATTGGTTTATGCAGACATGAGGGGTAGTGACGTCACGGGTGGGTTATGACGACACAGGGGAGGGGTTATGACGACACAGGGAGGGGTTATGACGACACAGGGGAGTATGACTGTCACCACAAATACAGTATAGCCACGATATATTTAATAGGAAGTGGCTAGTGGGTTAGGTTAGGTATGTCGTCGATAAAAAAAAACAATTATCACTTCCTATTAACTATTACCTGTCTCATAGTGCCCTCTGTCTGTCTGTCTGTCTGTCTGTAACATCACTAAGACCGTATTACTGGTGTGGTGGGGGTGAGGGTGTGGTGTGGGTGTGGTAGGGGTGTGGTAGGGGTGTGGTGGGGGTGTGGTAGGGGTGGGGGTGTGGTGGGGGTGTGGTAGGGGGCACGTAATCTAATATAAAATGTTAGTTGTGTGAATCACTGGCCAAGATACGATCTGTTGTAGATGCCGCGATTTGATTGGATGGAATAACATGACGTCATTCCAGATGGTTGGTGTGATTGGATAAGAGAACGTGACGTTATTGAAGATTGTGGTGTGATTGGATAGATGAGCGTGACGTCAGTGAAGATTGTGGCGTGATTGGATAGATGAGTGTGACGTCATTGAAGATTGTGGTGTGATTGGATAAGTAAGCGTGACGTCATTGAAGATTGTGGTGTGATTGGATAAGAGAACGTGACGTTATTGAAGATTGTGGTGTGATTGGATAAGTAAGCGTGACGTCATTGAAGATTGTGGTGTGATTGGATAAGTGAGCGTGACGTCATTGAAGATTGTGGTGTGATTGGATAAGTGAGCTTGACGTCATTGAAAGATAGTGATGATTGGATAGACGAGCGTGACGTCAAGTAGTAGTTGCAGTAGCTAGTGTGTTGAGGAATGATTTTATATATTGTTTATTTAATGGACACAGAGAGCAACTAGTCAATCGTGCACCCCATACAGGTACAGAGGGGAGGTGCTGGGGAGGGGGCGGGGAGGGGTATTGTATGGCCTCCAGTGTCGCAGTATACATACACATACAGGATAGCGCTTGTGTATGTATGTATGTATGTATGTATGTATGTATCATTATCATTACACACACAGGTAGATAATCACTTAATTAATCACACATCTAATTATTTTACCTGTATGTAATAGGTAAACATGAAGGGTGGACAGTTAACTACCCAATTGCCTTGTTTCCTTCTTTCCTCAGCCTTTGGTAACGCCAGAACGAGAAGAAACGATAATTCTTCTAGATTTGTGAGTAATTTACTGTTTTGTTCTTTGTTTGTTTGTGTGTTTGTGTGTTTTGGTTTAGTGTTTGTGTTTGTTTTATGATTCTGTTTGTTTTCCTTTTTGAGTGTTTTTCAGTGTGTGTGTGTGTTTGTGTGTGTGTGTTTGTGTGTGTGTTTGTGTGTGTTTGTGTGTGTGTGTGTGTTTGTGTGTGTTTGTGTGTGTGTGTGTGTGTGTGTATGTGTGTGTGTTTTTATATGTACACCAAACCTAACCTAACCTAACCTAACCTAACCTAACCTAACCTAACCTAACCACACGTCTTTCCTACACAGGGCAAGTACCTGGAGATGGAGTTTGACCACACAGGCGAGCCAGTAGGAGGAAGTATAACCCATTGTGAGTATAACAATATATTCACAGGTTATAGTGCTTAGTATAACTGATATATCACTGTAGATTATAGCTTTGATATATCACCTCTTGATATATTACTGTAGTATATTGAGTCATAGGAAGTAATATAACCCTATCTGAGTATTATAAGATTATACCCCTGTGATATAACGCTTGGTATATACTGTATTAGGTAATATAATCCAGTATATCTCTTAATATATCACTATAGTATATCGTCCATCACTCACGAGTATAACCAATTTTAGTTTGGAATATTTTTTTTTTAGCCTTCAGAGTATATTCCTCCTATATCACCTCTTAATATACCTGTATAGTATAGTAACTCGTGGTATAATCTTCCATAGTTATTATACCATGTAAATATAATCAAGAGTTGGTATATAATTGGTTCATAATTATATCACTCTTAAATCATTATATATCTAATTGGTTTTATTGAGTTTATATTATAATTATATATCGAGTATAATATATGGTGCCCTTTTTTATTATGCCTCCCGAAGATCTGTTGGAAAAGGTGAGTATAGTAGCGATTATTGTTTGTCTGTTTGTCTCTGTGTCTGTCTGTCTCTGTGTCTGTCTGTCTCTGTGTCTGTCTGTCTCTGTGTCTGTCTGTCTCTGTGTCTGTCTGTCTGTCTGTCTGTCTGTCTGTCTCTGTGTCTGTCTGTCTCTGTGTCTGTCTGTCTGTCTGTCTGTCTGTTTATAATTAATTTAGCTCTGTATCCCACGAGTCATTTAATACATAGATATACATACCAGCTGGATGGATACGTAATCAACAACACGAGCTGGAAATATATTAGATAAGGGTTGTGTCTTTCACGAGTGGTGGTAGGGAAGGGGAGTAGGGAAGATGAAGTTAATGAGGGTATTATGTACGGCGGGAGGAGGTGAGGGAAGGAAGGAGGAGGTGAGGGAAGGAAGAAGTGAGGGAAGTGATGGAAGGAAGGAGGTGAGGGAAGGAGGAAGTGAGGGAAGGAGGCAGGGATTGAAGGAGTGAGTGATTTACAAAAGGCGGTAGGGAAGGTAAAGAAGGAAGGAAGGAAGGAAGGAAGGAAGGTCCGTGTTACTAAGGGAGAAAGGAAGGGCAGGGAAGAAGGTAGAGATTAAGTGAGGGAGAAGGAGGGAGGAAGGAGACAGTAAGGACATGAGAACATTAATTAACCTGAAGGATGTGTGTGTGTGTGTGTGTGTGTGTGTGTGTGTGTGTGTGTGTGTGTGTGTGTGTGTGTGACAGAATTAAGGAGAAAATTGGAAGAATAAAGACACAAAACAGGAATAATAAGATAGGTTAATAAAGAGAGAATAGGGAGTAATTTAAGAAGAGTGTTGAGAGGGTTTGGAGGGAGGGAGAGGGGTGGAGAGGGGGTGACAGGTGAGTGGATACCCAGGAGGATTAATAGAAGACGTTTGGGCTTTTAGAGAGGGAGGAGGAGAAAGAAGGTATGTAAGAGAAGGAAGAGAAAGAGGAGGGGAAGGAAGAGAAGAAGAAAGAGGAGGAAGAGGAAAAAAGAAGACTGTAATAGAATCGTTCTGGGGTCGTCACAGGTAGCCGGAGTTGAGTCGTTCTGGGGTCGTCACAGGTAGCCGGAGTAGAGTCGTTCTGGGGTCGTCACAGGTAGTCGGAGTTGAGTCGTTCTGTGGTGGTCGTAATGGTAGACGACCCGCACGACCTGTTTGTGTACAGTGAAGTGTTGGGAGTGTGTGGCTTAGCACTTTATTGTTACTCACTACACGTGTATACTGAGTGTGTGTGTGTGTGTGTGTGTGTGTGTGTGTGTGTGTGTGTGTGTGTGTGTGTGTGTGTGTGAGGATGTGAACAAGTATGTGTGTGTATTTTGTTCATCTTGAGAGAGAGAGAGAGAGAGAGAGAGAGAGAGAGAGAGAGAGGTATAGTCATATAGCTGTCAGACATGGTTATGAGTCTGTCTGTCTGTCTGTCTCCTTACCGTCACCATCAAGGAGATTAATTACCTCTTGGGTCACGTCTCACCTGAGAGTGTGAGAGAAAGAGAGAGAGAGAGGGAATGAAAAGTGAGAGAGAGAGAGAGAGAAAGAGAGCTATGGATTCATTGCTCCAGCTTCAATTTTCTTTCGTCTCTCTCTCTCTCTCTCTCTCTCTCTCTCTCTCTCTCTCTCTGTAATAGCCACACAATTACCAAATAAACTCCTCTAATTGCCCCACTTCCCGTTGCAAGCTGATATTGTTCTGACCATTGCAGTAGTTATTCCTGCAATGTTGCATTCTTGTCTCTAGCTACAATTATTCTTCCAATTGACTCTTGAGCTAATTGCAATTTCCCAACCGTCGTTGCAATACATATTCTCACTATCGACTCTTGACTCTGTTGCAATATTGCACTTTTTAACTGTTGCAATTGTTGTTTTCGCTGTTGCAATAATCATTCTTGTTATCGATTCCACCTCCTGTAGCAGACGTCCATGCTAACGACACTTCAGTTTCGTTGCAATGTTGCATTCTTCGCCGTTTCCAAAAGCCATTCCTTGCTACCATTCTTAGCTGGTTTGCAATTTTGAGACGATCATTTGCAACAATTATTCTCGCTTAACGACGATGACCCTGTTGCAGTGTGACCCAGACGAGGAGGGGCTATTGTATTACCCCTCTCCCCACCCCTTTTCACCACCCCACCTCACCCCTCCTCACCCTACCCCTCCTCACCCCACCCCTCCTCACCACCCCCTCACTACCCTCCTCCACCCTACCCCTCCTCCACCCTACCCCTCCTCCCACCCTACCTCCTCCACCCCACCCCTCCTCCCACCACCCTCCTGCCACCCCCTCCCACCCTCCCTCACCCCCTCACCCCCCCTCACCCCTACCCCTCCTCCACCCCCTCCACCCCCCTCCACCTCCCCTCACCCCACCTCACCCCTCCTCACCCTACCCCTCCTCACCCCACCCCTCCTCACCACCCCACCTCACCCCACCTAACCTCCCCTCACCCCAAAAATACACCTGGCGTTAATTAGGCCCCGGTAACGTGAACGTGCAGTAAGCGGATGTATGTATCCTCTTGGCTGAGTCTCTCGCTAATTTGGACGCCATTTTGTGATGTCATTTTGCGGGGAATTAATGAGTTGATGATGATGATTAATAATGATGGTGATGATGATTGATGATGATACCGATTGATAATGATGATGATGATGATGATGATGATGACGACTATAATGATGATAACGATACTATACTACAATTACTACTATGAATAACAACAACCATGATAATGTATAATGATTGATAATGATAATAATAATAACATAAGCTATAGAGAAGTCACCACAACCAAGAAATAACCTTAAATCGGGCACACCATATATCCCCGAGCGTCCTCTTCACGAAACACACTCCCACCCCCGAGTTTGTGAGGATCCCCGGAAATGAAAATGGCCGCCAGATGGACACTTTTAATCGAGTCGTGCCCATTATCGAATAGGTCCGAGCTGTAGGATTGACCACTGTCTCTGCCAAGTTTCAAGGAGATCCGCCCACCTCTTTGAGACTTATCACGCGGACATTGACAACCCACGGTCAACCCACGGTCAACCCACGGTCGACCTGGGCAAGACGACACGCGCGGTTCTGTATTATCTAACGACAGGTGTATAGCAGGTGTAAAACAGGTGTAAGCAAATAATTAATATGTGAATAACATAGCAGATAACAGGTGTATGACAGGTGTATAACGTGTAACAATAACAGGTATATAACAGGTGTATAACAGGTGTCACTCTCCCACAGTCACGGGTCACGAGTCAAGCGGCCGGAGAGAGAAACTTTCACATCTTCTATCAGCTGCTGGCTGGAGCTGACATCCAGACCCTCAGTAAGTGCTGACACCCACAGTAAGTGCTGACACCCACAGTAAGTGCTGACACCCACAGTTAGTGCTGACACCCACAGTAAGTGCTGACAGGATTGCCATTCTATTACAGAATAACTGAAGGTTAACAAGTTGTCTGCCAACGAGAGTGAGAGAGAGAGAGAGAGAGAGAGAGAGAGAGTTGTATGTTATTAAGAAAACACAATAACCACACTTACAAGCTCAACCAGTACAACCAACCACAATTACAACAACCATAACAAACTTAACACTAAGAAATTACCACAACACAAATAACAACAACAACAACAACCACCACCACCACCACCACCACTATAATAACCACCTCCACTACAACAACAACCACCACCACAACAACAACCACCACCACAACAACAACCACCACCACAACAACAACAACCACCACCACAACAACAACCACCACCACAACAACAACAACAACAACAACAACAAGGGCGCACATTACAGTTTTCACTTATTTTTGGGAGACTGTTAAGAGATATATATATAGGGCTTCATGTCTCTTTGATATCTCTCTCGTCACAAATATATCCAGTATCTCTCAGGCCACAAATACGTCTCATTGTCTCTCTGTCTGTCTGTAGGTGTTTATCTCTGTCTGTCTCTCTGTCTCTTTCAGTCTCTCTCTGTCATTCTGTCTCCCAGTATGTTTGTTTGTCTCTTTCTGTGTGTGTGTGTGTGTGTGTGTGTGTGTGTGTGTGTTTGTGTGTGTGTGTGTGTGTGGTTTATGCAATATCAGTTATAATAATGATGGCAGTAGTGGTGATGGTAGTGGTGGTAGCAGGGGGTGGTAGTGGTGGTAGCAGGGGGTGGTAGTGGTGAAGTGAGTTAAATTAGTAGTGGTGGTAGTTAATTAGTAGTGGCAGGGAGTGGTAGTGGTGTAGTAGCAGAGGGGTGTAGTAGTGATGTAGTGGTGGTAGCAGGGTAGTGGTGGTAGCAGGTAACATGAGGTGGGAACATGGGTGTGGCAGCAGGTAACATGAGGTGGGAACAGGGGGTGGCAGCAGGTAACATGAGGTGGGAACAGGGGGTGGCAGCAAGGTGTGGTGAGCCGACTAGTGCTGACCCATTTTTCCCAACATAGTCCGATTAAGTCTTGTGTCTTCCTTGTGTAAGACCTGTGTGTGTGTGTACCACCTTGGGGGGTTTTAGACACACACACGCACACATACATACATGCACGAACAAGTTATGATTTGGTAGACCTGAGAGAGAGAGAGAGAGAGAGAGAGAGAGAGAGAGAGAGAGAGAGAGAGAGAGATACTAACAGGTATATTATCTTGCCTTTGACAGAGTCGTTGCGGCTACAGAGGAACGTGGAAAACTATATTCTTCTTCAGGCGCCGCGACACTGCCCCACAGATGTCCTGGACGACCGCACTGAGTACAACATTACCAAGGTATGTCTCTCATACCCCGGGGCACGAATGTTTACACGTTTTCCATCCCATTAGACGTTTCTACCTTCAGTACGGTTCTTATCTCAAACGTTTTTATCTAACGCCAGAATTCAGTCTTAAATGTTTCCTGTGGGATTTTGCCCTTGAGGGTTTTGTCCAATATCATTTTGTCCGGTAGGTCTTTGTCTGGTGGGATTTTTCTCCAGATTAATGGTATTTACTGGGATTTGGTCTTAAGGAATTTGGTCCAGGATGATTTTGTCCAGGGAAAAATTTATCCCGTACAATTTTGTCCAGTAAGAATTTGTCAGGTATAATTTTGTCCAGTAGAATTTTGTCCAGCGAAATTTTGTCAAGTAAAATTTTGTCCTATAAGATTTTGTCCTGTAAGATTTTGTCCAGTAGAATTTTGTCCATTGGAATTTTGTCCATTGGAATTTTGTCCAGTGGAATTTGGACCAATGGAGATTAAAACGCGTGTGGGTGGACCTACAGGACTGATCTTGCTTATTTTAAGTCGCCCGCGTTGTGTCGCATTGCAGTGGCCATTGTAAAGGGTGGCCATTGTAAAGGGTGGCCAGTATAAGGGGTGGGCCATTGGAAGGGGTGGCCATTGTAAGGGGTGGCCAGTATAAGGGATGGTCAGTATAAGGGGTAGCCAGTGTAAGGAGTGGCCATAAAGAGGTATCCAGTATAAGGGATGGGCCATGATAAGATGTGACCATTGTAAGAGGTAACCAGTATGAGGAGTGGCCTACTTATCCTAGCCCCCAGCCCTCAACTTATCTAACTCCCCTTCCCACCGTCAGAGAACCCTGGACGCCCTTGGGATGACGCAGGAAGAACAACTGGAGGTTCTGAAGGTGGTGGCAGCCGTCCTGAAGCTGGGGAACCTGACCTTCACCTCCGTTAACAACATCGATGGCACGGAAGGCTGTAGTAATGAGAACGAGTATGGTAAGTGAGGGTGGGGTGAGGGAGTGGGTGAGGGTGGGTGAGAGGGTGGGGGTGTGAGGGAGAGAGAGAGAGAGAGAGAGAGAGAGAGGTAAGGAAATCACCTCTTGTGTCTATATGACTATTAACTGTGATGGTGAATGACACAATGACAGTAAGTGACAGTACCACACCCCCACAGAGCTGTAAGTGACAGGACGTGACAGTACCACAGTACCACACCCACACAGAGCTGTAAGTGACAGGACGTGACAGTAAGTGACAGTACCACACCCACACAGAGCTGTAAGTGACAGGACGTGACAGTAAGTGACAGTACCACACTCACACAGAGCTGTAAGTGACAGGACGTGACAGTAAGTGACAGTACCACACCCCCACAGAACAGTAACTAACAGTGACACTTCCCCCACAGAGTTGCACGAGGTGTGTGAGCTACTGTCGTGCGAGGTGTCCACGCTGACGGGGGCCCTACAGACGAGGACGGTGGAGGCCCGAGGGGAGACCGTGGTGGCGGAGCTGTCGGCGATAGATGCGACAAGGACCCGAGACGCCCTCTGTCGTGCCCTCTACAACAGGCTGTTTACCTGGGTCGTCAGCAGGGTGAACGAGGCAATCAAGGTGAGAGAGAGAGAGAGAGAGAGAGAGAGAATTTTTGTGATATTCAATTACAAAACTATACCATATTTTCAGCTCTTTATATAAAAACAAAACGGGGCATAAAAAATAGACACACAAACAAAAGTAGCATTAGAGAGGCAGCTCATAGCTTTTGTTGGTCTTTGGTCAACTCCCACGCTCGGAGTCTTAAACACCGTCCTCCGTTGAAGAGAGTCGTCCTGTTTCAACCCGAGTTTGAAAAAAAAAAAAAAATTAGTCCTGAATGACCCCGCAGTACAGTACTTGACGGGGTAGTGTGACGGTAAAATTAACTACAGAACCGTGGCAGAGCATAGTGAAGAATTATTGTTATTTATCATCATCACCACCACCATCATCACCATCACCATCATCATCATAACCACGTCATTATTCCGTAGGTAAAGACCATGGGCCGCAGGAAGGTCCTCGGTATACTAGACATCTTCGGCTTTGAGATTCTTGAGACCAACAGCTTCGAGCAACTGATTATAAACTTCTGTAATGAAAAACTCCACCAGGTGAGTTCTCTACAGGTGTTTAGCTCTCCCAACAGGTGTGTAAGGATCAGGTGTAGGTGATACAGGTGTGTTTGAAGGTCTTATCTCTCTCAACAGGTGTGTAAGGATCAGGTGTAGGTGATACAGGTGTGTTTGAAGGTCTTATCTCTCCCAACAGGTGTGTGAGGATCAGGTGTAGATGATGCAGGTGTAATTAATATGGAGTTTGTTTATAAATTATTTCAATTAATTTTAGCCAATTTTTGTTTACGTATTTCTCATTAATTTCTGGGTTATTTCAATTGATGATCTATTTTGACTATTTCTGGGCAATTTCCTAACCTATTTCTCACCCGTTGCTGACTTATTCCGAACCAATTTCCTTTCCTATTTCCGATCTGTTTTTAACCAATTTTTCCCACAATTCTGTTTTCTTCACAATTTTGGTCTATTTTTAGTAAATTTTATTCCAATTTCATCCTAATTGTCTCGTTTCTTCCTTATTCACAACCAATTTTAACCAGTTTATAAGTAAAGCATTTAATTTCTAACCAATTTCCAATTTTTTCCCAATTTCCAACCAGTTTCTCCCCATTTCCAACCAATTTTCCTTATTTCCAACCAATTTTCCTTATTTCCAACCAATTTCTCCCCATTTCCAACCAATTTCTCCCCATTTCCAACCAATTTTCCTTATTTCCAACCAATTTCTCCCCATTTCCAACCAATTTCTCCCCATTTCCAACCAATTTCTCCCCATTTCCAACCAATTTCTAACCCATTTCTCCGGCATGTCTCAGGTCTTGACGGAGGTGACGTTAAAACACACACAGGAAGATTACCTGAGGGAGGGAATTGATTGGTCACCTATAGACGTACCCACCAATAACGCCGTAGTCGACCTTATTGAACAGGTGAGGGGTTAATTGGACAGGTGAGGGGTTAATTGGATAGTTGAGTGGTTAATTGGATAGTTGAGTGGTTAATTGGACAGGTGAGGGGTTAATTGAACAGGTGAGTGGTTAGTTGGACAGGTGAGTGGTTAGTTGGACAGGTGAGGGGTAATTGACAGGTGTGTGGTAATTGACTGCATAATGTGGTTATTGCATATGAATAGTTATTGAGGTGATGTGTGGTTATTGAGGTGATGTGTGGTTATTGAAGTGCATAGATTATCATAGAATGTTATTGACTGTATAGGAGGTGGTTATTGAGCATATATAGATGGTTATTGACATTTATATTATATGACATATGGTTATTATTGAGGATATAGATGTAGCGAGGCGTTGAGTGACATAGAAATTTGATCTATTTAACTGTTTCTATACTTACTTACTGTGACATAGAAATTTGATATACCTGTTTCAATATTCCTGTGACATAGATAGACTGTTATGTGGTACCGAAACCTTATATAACAAACCATATTTTCCCACATGTGACGCAGAAAGAGAGACCATTTTAACGACCTATTCTACCTTTCTATGCCACAAAGACCTATTTTACATTTCTATGCCACAAAGACCCTTTTTACATTTCTATGCCACAAAGACCAACACCCAGGAACCGGCCGAAATTTAACTCTTCTTTAACCCTGGGTGTGTGGTACAGAGACAGACGGGGGTACTAGCTGTGATCGAGGAGGTCAGCAGTCGTGTAGGAGGTGGCACAGACGCCCTCCTGCAGCAGTTGTCGTTCTCCTGCGGGGGACATTCTCTGTTCGACATCAAGGGAGGTAGACACGCCCATTCCGACAATAACATCCCGACTGACTCTTTCAGGTAAGTCAGAAGGGCGGTGAGGGGGTTCTCTGTCTGTCTCTGTCTGTCTGTCTGTCTGTCTGTGTCTGTCTGTCTTGAGAATTATTTTGAAGTGTGGGTGGAGATAATTTCTAGTGTGATGTAGAAGTGAGATAAATAGAGAGAGAGAGAGAGAGAGATACAGCAGAAAGAAATGGAGAGAAAAAAGAGAGATAGAGATAAAGGCAGATAAAAATAGAGATAAGACAAAGAGAGAGAGAGACAGAGGTAAAGATAGAGATAATTAGACAGAGATAATAACAGATAGATATAGAGAGAAAGAGAGATTAGAGACCAAATATAGAGAGAAAAAGAGAGATAAGAGACCACAGAGAAAGAGAGAAAGACAGAGATAAATACAAAGAAAAAGATATAGACAGACAGACAGACAGACAGACTAACACACGTCACCCCCACAGGATCCGTCACTACGCTGGTTCCGTCACCTACACTGTCTACGGGTTCATTGAGAAGAACTGCGATGCTCTACACCGTGACCTGACCCGCTCCTTGTACCGCTGTAACCACCGTATCCTCAAGGAGCTGTTCCCTGAAGGTGAGTCCCGGGGCGTAGGATACTCATATAAGGCCATAGGATACTCATATAGGTGCATAGGATATTGATATAGGTGCATAGGACCCTCATATTTAGAGATTGGGGTATAGGATACTCACATAGGGAGTCTTGGTGGCCATAGGATACTCACCATCCATCCCATCACCACCACCCCTCCCATCACCCCTCCTATCTACCACCTCCCATCACCACCACCCCTCCCATCACCACCACCCTTCCCACCACCCCCCATCACCACCACCCCTCCCATCACCACCACCCCTTCCATCACCAGGTAACCCCAGAAGGACAACGTTGAAGCGGCCGGCCAGTGTGGGGACCCAGGTGTTAATCTCTGTGTCAGCGCTCATGAGGACTCTGCGTTCCAAGACCCCTCATCTCATAGCTTGTATCAAGCCTAATGAACTGAAGCAACCTAGGATCTTGGAGTCAGCCCTTGTCCTCCACCAGATCAAGTACCTAGGGTGAGTCTTGAGTTAATTGATTTATTGGTTGATTGTTAGTTTTTTAGTGTGATTGATTGCTAGATTGTTTCTCACTCACACCCCTTCCTCCCCCGTCACTTCCTCAGGTTGGTGGAACAGGCGCGGGTGAGGTGTGAGGGGTGGTCGTACAAAGGCACTCACGAGGGGTTCCTAAGCAGGTATGCCATGTTGTCTCTACACACCTGGCCTACGTGGAGAGGCGCGCCCCTAGAAGGATGCGCCCTCCTCCTTGCTGACCTCCCAATCACCCCTACACAGTACACCTTCGGCAGGACTAAAGTGTTTATTAAGAGTCAAAGAGCCGTGAGTATTCTTCCGCCATCTTTTGCTTTACACCTGTACTGTGTTGTTAAGTGGGGCTCATTTGCATATATATACCTGTAGGATGTTGTTATTGTTGTTGTTTTTGTTTATTATTATTATTATTATTATTATTATTATTATTATTATTATTATTATTATTATTATTATTATTATTATTATTATTCACCATCATATTCCTGTCACTTAATAGAGTTTAAATAATAATAAAATTAATCATCAGTGTTTTCTCTTTCAAGACTAAAATTTATCCATATATTTCACTACAGATAAATACAAGTCTATATTCAACTCATTTGCATATTACCTGAGACTTGCACACCTGTATAATCTTATCTAAAGTTGTTTATTGAAGCAGAAATATCCATTGATAACTTTTTACTTCTTATATGTATATAGGGCATTCAATCACCCTTAATTAGATAGGTAAAGTACAGGTAAATTTGGTAGTGTCAAGGAGGTATTTGTTGTTTATGAAGATTGTCTGTCTGTCTGTTTGTCTGTCTGTCTCTACTTTTTATTTCTGTGTCTGTTATTTCTTTCTTTCTTTCTTTCTTTCTCTCTCACTGTACCACATCTCTCACTGTACCACATCTCTCACTGTACCACATCTCTCCCTGTACCACATCTCTCACTGTACCACATCTCTCACTGTACCACATCTCTCACTGTACCACATCTCTCACTGTACCACATCTCTCACTGTACCACGCACCCAACAGATTCACGAGCTTGAGGAGTACCGTCGGGAGAGACTGGAGGACTTGGCGGTACTGGTGCAGAAGACGTACCGTGGGTGGCACCATCACACACGGTACAAACAAATGAAGGCCGCTCAGATCACCATAGCAACGTACTGGAGGAGTTGGAGGGTACGTATCGCAACTGCTATACTGCTATACATGTTTGAAGAGTAAGTACAAGGTCCTGCTATACCGCTATGTATGTTTTGGAGTTACTGCAAGGTCCTGCTATACCGCTATGCATAATTAGAGTTGTTGCAAGACCCTATTAGAGCTCTTTTCAGGCTTGCTATACCGCTATGCAATATTGTGTAACAGTTATGGTGTTTATTCTTATCTACAGGACTTGCTATACTGCTATGGAATATATGTAATGCAACTGCTCTATTGCTATACACTTTACGGTAATAGTTATAATGTCTCGTTATGTTCCCCCACACTTGCTATACGGCTATGCAATCTAATTTAGTAGTTGCAATGTCTTGTGATGTATAGCAGAAGAAGACAACTTAGAATACGAATCCAAAGGTTATATATATATACCGCTATACCGCTATGCAGTTACTATACTTTAAACTTGATAACATTTTCATGATCTAAGTGTATATGTCCATTGCTTCGTGCTATGTAACTATACAGTATAACAGATATATAGGAGTCTTGAAAGGTGATAGTTTATATATCATACTGCTATACAGTTCTATACATACAGTAATAATAATAAACTCATTATTATCCATGCTATACCGCTATACATTCTTATATGCAACAGAGATAAAATTATATACGATTCTCCATATTATACAGTTCACGAGATATATACTATACTATAATATCGACACACTATACGTTATATAACTCTGAATATATATAGAAGCTACACCCTGCTATATAGATTCTGTGGGTGTATATAAAAGCTATACCATGTTAAAGAAGGTATCATTTTATCAGCTATAGACACTCAGCCTCACATGACAGCTATGTGAGTCATGGGTATTTATGACACTCTAATCATGTGTGTGTGTGTGTGTGTGTGTGTGTTTGTCCTGTGCTTGTTTGTGTGTTTGCCCCGTGCTTGTGTGTGTTTTTGTTTGTTTGTTTGTTTGTTTGTTTGTTTGTTTATCCTGTGTGTGTGTTTCTTTATGCAGTGTGTTTGTGTGTTTGTTTATCTTCTGTTCGTTTTTATGTTAGGTAATATTCTTTGTTTGTTTGTTAGTACCTTCACTTCACCTCACCTTAGCACCGTGGCACAGAGTAAAGACAGGTAAGGAGACAGTAGCTGACCTTAGGAACAACTGCTTATGTTCCCATCTTGTATCATTCGTGTCTGTGATTGGTTCACGAACGTAACAACGTGTGTGTGTGTGTGTGTGTGTGTGTGTGTGTGTGTGTGTGTGTGTGTGTGTGTGTGTGTGTGTGTGTGTGTGTGTCAGTAAAGTGGTGTAAGGCTATGTTAATCACCTAAACATTAGACATCCTAATTATGTCAACCTGATGATTCAACAACCTAACGCTGATCACCACAGGTATAGAATTACTGTGTTTAATTATCAGGTGAAATAAGCCTGGGAGCTAACCTTCAGACGATAAGAACAGGGTAGGGGTAAGTACCGAGCCTTGAGGTGATCCAGATATGATAAGAAAGTCCAGTACATTACTCACAATATGAACTGGTTACACCACTCTAAATGTGACCCGGAAATTCCATCAACATATTAATACAGATTTATGTTACAGTGATCTTTATGGTGGTACAGAAATATAGCTAATGATCATAATACTTAGGCAATAATGTGTTTGAAGGTGATTATAAGGGTGAGGGTGTACACTAGACTATTTTCTGGACGTCTGGGGGTGAGAGTAGCAAGTGGGTGGAGTGGGCGGAGTGGGATGGAGTGGGCGGAGTGGGGTGGAGTGGTCTTAGTTGGTTTGGGTGTCCTTAAGTTGCATTTCTGGGTAGTCGTAATCGGGGGTTAGGTCAGGTTAGGTTAGGTCAGGTTAGGTTAGGTCAGATGACATAAACCAGGAGGGTGCTAATAGTCAGGTGGTCCCAAACTTGCATTATGATTAATATTTATCAATCAGGAGATATTCTGATGCAAACCTGATTACAGGATGAAGCAAGTGTGTGTGTGTGTGTGTAATAATAATAATAATAATAATAATTAACGGTTTATTGAAAGAGCTTGGCAGCCAGAAGGCTGAAAATATACAGTTACATATTTGGGGAATGGGTTACGAATTACAAATAATATACAAGTAACATAAGTGACACAAATAAGACATATAATAACTTAGATGGGGATCAGCTCAAACTACAGGACATTTCAACATAGTGACAGTGCAAGGAGCAGTGTTTACTGGGAGTGAATACACTGATTTATTACATGTTATTGATAATTTTTACAATGGTTGGGAGTGGGCTGTTCTTATAGCGATCAGTTCGTGCACGTATGGGCTGGATGCGGTTGTGGTGTCGAACAGCAATTCTCGGACAGGGGATCTCAGGTGGTAGTAGGAACCGGTGTCGGGGATGGTGTAGAAGCTTCTTACCAAATTTGCAGATGAGGTCGTGGTGATGGTCAGTGAGAGTCGAAAGGGTCAGTGTGTTGAGCGCTTGATATGTGGAGTAGGAAGGGGAGAGAATAATCTTGCATGCCCTCTTTTGCACTTTTTCTAGGTGTTTACGTTGTGTGTGTGGCATTTAGGAGGAAGACCAGGTAGGGAGGCATGGGGTGAGCTTGGGGAAGTATGAATGTTGTGTATACACTGCGTGTGTGTGTGTGTGTGTGTGTGTGTGTGTGTGTGTGTGTATCTCGTTGAGGTTAGCTTATCAAAGATATTTGGATAAGAACAATACAATGAGATGTCAGACTACCGCCACCACTACTTCCTTGAACACGGGAGGGGGGAGGCATGAGGTGAGGGGGGGGAGGGAGGGGGTAGGGGAGGTGACTGGAGGGGGGAAGATGGATCAGATAGAGTTGATTTTGGCCGGTACAGAGCTTAGAGACGCGGATAAGAACGGATAAGATTAATAAATTCTGATAACACGTTTCTTCAAGAGTTAATTTCAGGTGATATTTGATTTATGTTTAATACAAGCAATTCTTAACTACACTCTTGTCAGTAATTAGCTCCTATGAGTAATCAAATAAAATATCTCGTCATTTTTATATCTGCTGTGGGTAATAAAGTGAATGAGATATTTAGGTATTGAGTTTTAATTGCTCTTATTAGCTCTGTTCTTACGTGTTTGGTTAAATTTGGTTAAGTTAGGTTACGTAAGATTAGCATTAGTTGAGATAAGCCACTGGGGATGTCTAATCTTCACGTGAGACATAAACGCCTTCAATAAGCTTTATGGCTCATATTACACTTAAAGCGTGGACCCCGGAGCAATAAAAATACCGGCAAATATCTCACTTCAAACGCTTACGGAAATTATATCACTGAGACATAAATGGATTTCCTGAACTAATACATTAAATTTTATTGCTCACGTCAATTCTTATAAATGTATGGGGGTGGGGTGGGGTGGGGTGGGGGTTGGGCGGGGTAGGGTGGGGTGGGGGTTGGGCGGGGTAGTGTGAGGATGTGGTGGGGTGGGGACGGGGTGGGGCGGTGTAAAGGTGTGTATAATTCAATATTTCAAAAGTCATATAAAAAAAATCACAGTGTTTAGTTAGGTTAGGTGTTGATAGTAATTATACAGAATTTAATTATACCTTTGGTGATTTTTCTAAGTGATATGTTTGTGTTTGTTCTTGAGGTGTTTGTGTTTGTTCTTGAGGTGTTTGTGTTTGTTTTGCAATACCAAACGTCAATATTGCATGGTGATTACTGCATACATAGTGATTGTTGACTGCTGTACACACATGGTGACTGCTGTACACACATGGTGACTGCTGTACTGTACATGGTGACTGCTGTACTGTACATGGTGACTGCTGTACTGTACATGGTGACTGCTGTACAGGTGCTGCATGGTGTTCTCCCTGCTCTAATGCATGGTGCCTTACGTTGCCTCTTTTGTTTACTTCACGTGTACAGCTGAAACAGAACGACCCGGATACAGCCAAGTCTCAGAAGCTACTACTCAAAGGATGGAGTTTCTTTATGTTGGTATGTGGTAGTAGTGGTAGTACTGGTTGTTGGAGTAGTGGTAGTACTGGTTGTTGGAGTAGTGGTAGTACTGGTTGTTGGAGTAGTGGTAGTACTGGTTGTTGGAGTAGTGGTAGTACTGGTTGTTGTAGTAGTGGTTGTTGGAATAGTGACTTGTGGTTGTTGTGGTAGTAGAAACTGAGTATGAGGCAACAGTCACTGAATGCCGCATAGATCTGCGGCTCAACAGGACAGCTACTGTTGTATTACCATATTTAATATTAAGGAAATAAAATGGTGGTGAAGGTGTGGTTATTGGGGGAGGCTGGAGGCCACATAAAAAAAAATGTTGTGGTAGTTATTGTAGTAGTAGTAGTAGTAGTAGTGGTAGTAGTGGTATTGTGTGTTATAGTAGCGTATAGTCAACCATCAGTGTACCGTACAGTGTACCATTACAGTATACCATTACAGTATACCATTAAGCAGTACCATTACAGTGTACCAATACAGTGTATATACCATAACCGTATACCATTACAGTGTACCATTACAGTGTACCATTACAGTATACCATTACAGTATACCATTACAGTATACCATTACAGTGTACCATTACAGTGTACCAATACAGTGTATATATCATAACCGTATACCATTACAGGGTACCATTACCGTGAATCATTACAGTGTACCATTACAGTATACCATTACCGTGTACCATTACAGTGTACCATTTCCGTGTACCATTACCGTGAACCATTACAGTGTACCATTACAGTGTACCTTCACCCCTACAGGCGAGAGAGGAGTACAGGCAGCTAAAGCACCGTAGACGGGTTGAATGGGCAGCAGCTGTGATCAAATTGGCCTACACCAATTACCAGGTACTGTATCTTACACCTGTAGCCTGTATCTTACACCTGTAGCCTGTACCTACACCTGTCCTCCTTAGAATTTTGTACTACATATAGCATTACAGGATTATTATTATTATTATTATTATTATGATTATTATTCGTATTCTTATTCTTATTTGGAAACTTTACATCAACCATTACCCAAAAATAATAAGATATCTGAACAAACTCTTTATTACGTTTATTGAAGTAATATATAAGTGAAGGACCACCACTACTACTAACACCACCACCATTACTACCGTCAGCGCTGGAGGTTCCTGACCCTTGTGCTGACAGAACTTCCGTCAGACTCACCAGCTGACGGTTCCTGGCCCCCCACCCCTGCCTCCCTTAGTGACGTCAGCATCTTACTGCGGCGATTACATCATAAGTGGCGGGTAAGAGAGAGTATATGTGGGAGAAAAATATAAAAAAAATACTAATATTTTTTAAAGTGACAACGTGTGTGTGTGTGTGTGTGAGAGAATCGACCTACCCTAACTACCACACACTCTATCCACCAGTGTCACAGATATCGGCTACAGTTCGACCAGACAGCTCGTAACAGGATGAGAGAGAAGGTAACAGCCTCCATCATCTTCAAGGACAGGAAAGCATCGTACCCAAAAAGGTAAAAATAAAAAAAAATAAAAAAAACACAATTACCCCTGATAATTATATTTTAAGAGATAATTAATTACCTTTCAAACTAAAAAAAATGTAATTATAAGTTTTTATAAGGGATAATTAATTTACTTTCTCATAAAAATTACATAGTTTGTCTTTATGAGTCTCTTTGGTAAACGCTGTATAATTATCGATTTTTGAGACTAATTAATTCGGTCTATGAAGATATTTAATTACTTATTTGAGATCAATTAATTACTTTTTGGAGAATATTTAATTTCTTGTTTAAGATAAATTAATTACTTGAGAATATTTAATTTGGATTTTTTTTTGGGGGGGGTATCACCTGATAATTATTAGATACCTTAATTTATTTCACCTGAAGATTAACCACCCTAACGCTATATGGACGTTGAGGTTTGGTTAGGATTTGGTTAGGTTAGGTTAAGTGGTTTATCTGCAGGTGAAATAAAATTGGGGTGTCTAATCTTCAGGTATTCATTTCTTTTAATATCACCACTTAAAAAAATACTTAACACCTGTACACAAAACACACTTATAAACACCACTTATAAATATACTTCACTACTTGTACATGTAGCTGACATGTACGCAACCACTTGAGGGACGAGATTGTCTGTGTGTGTAATAATAATAATAATAAACGGTTTATTAATAGAGTTGCAGCCGGTGGCTGAAAATATACAGACTTACATTTGATTTAGACATAATGATATAATATGCATTGAATACATTTACAGGGCTGTACAGTACATAAATCAGGAGTTGTTTATTATTTTAACAATAGATGGGATGGTGCTGTTCTTATATCTATCAGTGCGGGCTCTTATGGGCTGAATTTTGTTGTAGTGGCGAACTGCGCGAGTTGGGTGGGGGGCTGCAGGAGGTGGCGATGACGAGGGTGGTGCAGTAGTCCACTGCCAAACCTTTTCAGTGCTTGGTGGTGGAGGTCACTGAGGGATGGCATTTCCAGGGTGGAGAGAGCGTTGGTGTAACCGGAGTATTCTGCGCCGAGCATGATTCTGCAGGCCCTTTTCTGTACCTTCTCTAGCTGACGGTGTTGTGTGTGTGTGTGTGTGTGTGTGTGTGTGTGTGTGTGTGTGTGTGTGTGTGTGTGTGTGTGTGTGTGTGTGTGTGTGTGTGTGTGTTGTGTGTGTGTGTGTGTGTGTGTGTGAAGTGCATCAGCTGTCTGGACTTTAGGGCAGAATAGCAGATGTGTGTCTCTCTCTGTCTCTTTTTTATCTTCTCTTATCTCTTTATCTCTCTCTTTTATTCTCTCTATCTCCCTCCAACTCTATCTTTTTCTCTCTATCTCTATCTATCTCCCTCCATCTCTCTCTCTCTCTCTCTCTCTCCTGGTCTTGGTAATCCCTGGGTAGATTAATAGGATTTAAATTTCGGTGAATATCTGCTTATGTGGATGACTAATGTAGGGATTATTGTATGTATAGATCTGTATGTATCCACACCCACCTACCCACACCCACCTACCCACACCCACCTACCCACACCCACCTACCCACACCCACCTACCCACACCCACATGCCCACACATACCCACCTACCCACACATACCCACCTCTCCAAGCTATAACCAACTGTTCTCTTTGTTCCAGTGTGTCTCATCCGTTCCTAGGAGACTATGTGAGGCTCCGTCAGAATGCCCAGTGGAAGAAGCTAGCAGCTGAGACCAATGACCAATATGTTGTGTTTGCTGATATTGTCAACAAGATCACACGTTCAGCTGGCAAGGTGAGGGTGGTGGAGGAAGGATTGTAGTGTGTGGGTGGAGTGTCAGTGGGTGGGGGAGAAGTGTGGTGGGGGGAGGTCAGATAATGGTGGGGGGGAGGGAGGGGTCGGGTGTGGTGGGGGGGGAGGGGCCGGGTGTAGATGGGGTGGGGGTGGTTAATCTAAACGTACTATAATCTAACTTTATCGTTGGTTAAATTTTGGTCTTGATAAGTATGATTATTTTGTCAGATTTGTAGTAATATGTAGATAACCTAACTTAACCTAACCTAGCTCAACCTAGCTTAACCTAACCTAACTTAACTTAACCTAACCTCATACTTTCGGTGTTTTTTTTTCTCATATATTTCACGTTTTTTTTCTTCTATATTTTGTTGTGATTTAATATTTTTATCCTGTACGTCTATAAATTTTATACATTTAATCTTCCATTATTATTCATAGATTCCATACAATTTCCTTTCTTTTCCTCACTGTTGTCTATTTATTCAACAGTTTGTGCCAATATTGCTGGCTGTGTCGACCAACTCCCTCCTGGTATTAGATCAGCGAACACTACAGATTAAATACCGTATACCGGCCTTGGAAGTACAGCGGATATCTCTCTCTCCATACCTGGGTGAGTTAATTGGTTCTGTCTATTTACCTGTGTGAATTAATTGGTTCTGTATATCTACCTGGGTGAGTTAATTGGTTCTGTATATCTACCTGGGTGAGTTAATTGGTTCTGTCTATTTACCTGTGTGAATTAATTGGTTCTGTACTTCTACCTGGGTGAGTTAATTGATTCTGTCTATTTACCTGTATGAGTTAATTGGTTCTGTACTTCTACCTGTGTGAGTTAATTGGTTCTGTATATCTACCTGTGTGAGTTAATTGATTCTGTCTATTTACCTGTATGAGTTAATTGGTTCTGTACTTCTACCTGTGTGAGTTAATTGGTTCTGTACTTCTACCTGTGTGAGTTAATTGGTTCTGTATATCTACCTGTGTGAGTTAATTGGTTCTGTACTTCTACCTGGATGAGTTAATTGGTTATATATCTCTACCTGTGTCAGTTGAGAGAGACAGACTGTTTCTTACCTACTACCACCACCTAACGCTACCCCACCACCACCTTCCCCCAGATGACATCGCCGTTCTGCACGTTAAACCTCCCTCACCCACGGCGGACCTATCTGGCTCTCAGAACTTGAACCCAGGGTGCTTGTTCGGGTCAGATGAGGTCAAACGGAAGGGCGACCTGGTGCTGCAGACGGGTCACGTGATAGAGGTGGTCACGAAATTATTCTTGGTGGTACAGAATGCTACCGGCAAGCCTCCAGATGTGAACATATCCACTGAGTAAGTAGACGTAGTGATAGAGGCGGTAACTGTGCTAAAACCTTATTCAATTTGCCTTGTTATATGGTATTTATGTATTGTTTCTGTCACTAGTGCACAGGGACATTATGAACACTCGATTATATTTCGTTAACAGCTGTAATGTATCCATATAATTCATATATTTGTCTCACATCTTGGACAGATTTGACGCCAACTTCGGTCAACACTCAGTCTTGTTTACCTTCAAGACGGCAGGGCTGGCGGAGGTGGCCCCGGGACAGATTCGTATTATGAGACGTCACAACCGCATGGAGGTAATCTTGTAGGGTCCCACCAGCCTGGAGGTCATCTTGTAGGGCCCTGTGGTCATTTCCTGGGGCCCTTCCAAGCACGTAGAAGTTCTCAACTGAGGAACTTGGTGTCTGGGAACTTTACAAGATGGGAGAGTGACCTCGAGGAATTGAGAAGTAAAGAGGTGGTCTTTAAGCGTCGTCAGGAACATGGAAGTCAACTTTTAGGGTTCTCACAAGCCCGGAGGTCGGCGTCTAGAACCTTCACAAACATGGGGTCCATCCACTGGGCCCTCAGGATGAAGGATATCATCTAAAGAGGCCTTGTGAACATGGAGAGCATTTTGTAGGCCCTCTTAGACACGCGGAAGTCAGTTTGAAGACCCTCCCAAGCCAAATATAGACGCCTTGTACGGTTCTCACAACAAATTCCCCCAAACTAACTTGAGTTGCCTTGCCCGCTACATGGAATGTGAAAATGAGTATCCGACCGCATATGTTGGTATTTAGACACAAGTAGGGGGGCTCGATACCTTGCTTAACGCGACTTTGCCTTGGTGTGTGACTATTGCAAGAGACAATGTGAGTTGCATGTGTCGGTGTGTAAACAGTGAGAGCCATACAGGACTCCAAGATGTGTTGACTCAGTTGCAAAGAGTGATAAATTTTTTACTTTGCACTAAAGGGAACTGAAACTTCTGATTGGATGAAGTGATGCTATTTGCTGGCTATACAGAAGGAGGACAGTAGTAGAGATAGTTTATGATTGGTGCAGTGACGATGAAGATATTAAAAAAGAAGCAATAAACGAAAAATGTGTAGTGGAAAGCAAAAGAGAAAGAAGAAGACTGACAATGTGATTGTGAACTGCCCTTAGTATATATATATAAATAAATAAATAAATAAATATGAATAAAAAAACGGGTTTTTATTCTTTGTACAGTCAACAGATAAGATGATGACTATGATAAAACTTATTTACAGTGTGGCTGAATTTAAAGTTGTGTCCTTGAGTTGACACAGATGACTGACTCCCTAAAATGGCGACCCTGTTCTCTTCCTTCAAGTTATGTAGACCACTAACTGTAGACCACCAGCTGTAGACCACCAGCTGTAGACCACCAACTGTAGACCACCAGCTGTAGACCACCAGCTGTAGACCACCAACTGTAGACCACCAACTGTAGACCACCAACTGTAGACCACCAGCTGTAGACCACCAACTGTAGACCACCAACTGTAGACCATCAACTGTAGACCACCAGCTGTAGACCACCAGCTGTAGACCACCAACTGTAGACCTGCCTGTAGACCACCAACTGCTTAGACCACCAACTGTAGACCACCAACTGTAGACCACCAGCTGTAGACCACCAGCTGTAGACCACCAGCTGTAGACCGCCAGCGCAGACCACCAACTGTACACCACCACCTGCTTAGACCACCAACTGTAGACCTGCCAACTGTAGACCTGCCAGCTGTAGACACCAGCTGTAGACCACCAGCTGTAGACCACCAGCTGCTTAGACCTGCTTCTTGAGCCACCAGCTGTAGACCACCAGCTGTAGACCACCAACTGTAGACCACCAGCTGTAGACCATCAACTGTAGACCACCAGCTGTAGACCACCAACTGTAGACCACCAGCTGGAGCCACCAGCTGTAGACCACCAACTGTAGACCACCAGCTGTAGACCGTCTTCATAGACCACCAAATGTAGACCACCAACTGTAGACCACCAGCGACACCAGCTGTGAACCTGCAACTGTAGACCACCAACTGTAGACCACCAGCTGTAGACCACCGGCTGGCAGACCTGCAACTGTAGACCACCAGCTGTAGACCACCAGCTGTGGAGCCATCAACTGTAGACCACCAGCTGTAGACCACCAGCTGGGCCATCCAACTGTAGACCACCGGCTGCTTGGAGCCTGGCTGTGGGCCATCAACCTTAGACCACCAGCTGTAGACCAGCTGCTTAGACCACCAGCTGTAGACCACCAACTGTAGACCACCAGCTGTAGACCACCAGCTGTAGACCACCAGCTGTAGACCACCAAGAGGGTAGACCAGTGGTTCCCAAACTAGGATGTAAAGGCTTAATAATATATGTTAATGGAACAATTTAGTGTTGGGATTTTGAGAGAATTTTCAAAGATATACTAATGTGAGTTGACAACCTCATCCACCAAACAACCTCATCCACCAAACAACCTGAGGTGAGTAAACAATAAAACTGGTTATTGAACTATTATGTTACCAGGTGAGTGGGTCATTATGGAGGTCAGCCAGGTGAGTGGGTCATTATGGAGGTCAGCCAGGTGAGTGGGTCATTATGGAGGTCAGCCAGGTGAGAGTGGGGTCGTATGGAGGTCAGCCAGGCAGTGGGGTCATTATGGAGGTCAGCCAGGTGAGTGGGGTCATTATGGAGGTCAGCCAGGTGGTGGGGTCATTATAGGTCAGCCAGGTGAGTGGGAGTCGTGGAGGTCAGCCAGGTGAGTGGGGTCGTGGAGGTCAGCCAGGCAGAGTGGGGTCATTATGGAGGTCAGCCAGGTAGTGGGGTCATTATGGAGGTCAGCCAGGTGAGTGGGGTCATTATAGTCAGTCAGCCAGGTAGTGGGGTCATTATGGAGACCAGGTGAGTGGGAGTCATTATGGAGGTCAGCCAGGTGAGTGGGGTCGTTATGGAGGTCAGCCAGGTGAGTGGGGGTCATTATGTAGGTCAGCCAGGTGAGTGGGGTCATTATGTAGGTCAGCCAGGTGAGTGGGGTCATTATGGAGGTCAGCCAGGTGAATATAGGGCGATGGCTTAACTTACGAACCATTGAGTCGGAATTTTAAAGGATTAAATTTTGGAGGATAATTGAACTTGTGAGCTTTACGGGGCTCCGGAGATAAGATTTAGTTGGTCACGAGGGTTTTGTCCTGATAACGGTACACTCACACACACACATACTGCCTCGTTGACCTACCGATCAATATGTCATGTGATAATACGATCCCCCCCTCCTCCCCCCCCTCACCCCCCATCTCTCCCTTCCCTCTTTCTCTCCCAATCATTTTCATTCTCTTGTAGCATCTTTCTCTGCCTTATATTCAGTTTCCCTCATTGTAATTCTCTCTTTCTGTTTCTCATTCTGTTCTGTCCCTGTCCCTTTCTCTTCCCGTTTCTCGCTGACTATTCCTCGTTTTTATTCGCTCTGGTGATCTTTATGATTAAAAAAAAATAATAAAAATCGTATCACTTACATCACGACAGCATATATTTACCTAGTGTCGAGACCCTGAGACACTTGCGCTGTGATTGGGCAACTCGTGCTTGCATCTAAGACCCGGATTGTGATTGGCTGCTGGGAGTTGTAGTTATCGTACCTCGGGTAACCAAGGATCAACAAAGATATGCCGACAACTTTATCTTAATGGTATGCACCAACTGTCGTTTACAAGCTGTTGAGAATTTGTATTTTAATATATAATCCCGTTGAAAGACCAATCTCATAGCTAATATAACCTAACTTAATTTGATCTAACTCTTAACTAACTTAACCTAACCTAATACTAGCTAACTTAGATTTAATAATTTATTGAAGTAAGGTTACACAAATTACAAAATAACACAACTCGTTCACCTCCTTATTGTGTCTGGTGGGTCTTGACTCAACCAGGTTTTTATAATAGTTGTTGGTTTGGGTGTTAATGTCGACGATATTGAACACTTCTAAACCTTACCTTCCCTCTACTTCCACCTAAATTTTAAGCACCCTGATGGTTCCTGGAGTGTCTAATCTTCATGGGATAATTTTTTAATTTATATTGTATTATTTTTAGTTGTTTTATGTTTATTTGGGTTAATTTTTAGTCTGGTTATGAAGACAGGCATACAAAATCATTTTAAGAGGCATAAGATACGATAAGCATCATCACATATTTTTTTCTGGTAACTAGTCGGCTCGGGAGACTACCGCAGGTAACGTGCTGCGAACAGTGACACTGAAGAGGTTCCCGGCGAGGTGGGACGTCCTCACAACAAACGACACTCAGGTAAAGTAGAGTAGAGTGCACCTTCCTGTCTGTCCACTGATAAACCTAACTAACTAACTCACTCACTCACTCACTCTAAAAAGGCAAGTGAGAGGGGTGAAGACGGTAAGGTTAAGACGAAGGGTAATGGGTGGATGGGAGTGAGTCGTAAGAGTGGTTAAAACAAGGTTCAGATTTTAAACGCCATGCCCAGTGACTGACCTGAAGACTCATGATTGGTCAATGTGACAGTGGGAGGAGCTTCATATTTTCTAACTCAATACATCAGGTCAAGTGCTGTTAATAGCCAATATCCTGACCTAATATGGAAGACAACCGGAAGTCAAGGCAAACTCGGGTCATTAGTAGAATAACACAAACCAACTGTCGCATCTAAACAGGTTTAGGTTCTCCGCATGGAACCTTTGTAACTTTCTATTATAATATAAGAATGGGATAATAATAATAATCTAAAGTGGACAAAGTAACTCGTATCAAAGTGTAATAATGATGACAGTGAATGAACGTATACCTTAGGATATGTTCTGTTCAATAAAACAAACCCCATATGTGTTTTCATTCAGTGTTCAAAGTTGTAAAGGTTTCATTTATATATAGACACACCAGCAGAACACGGCCTATACCTATATACACAAGCTTTGGGTAGGGTCACGATTTCCACGAGACCGAGTTCAGATGGGGTCGAGTTCAGATGGGGTCGAGTCCAGATGGGGTCGAGTTCAGATGGGGTCGAGTTCAGATGGGGTCGAGTTCAGATGGGGTCGAGTTCAGATGGGGTCGAGTCCAGATGGGGTCGAGTTCAGATGGGGTCGAGTTCAGATCCCTAAAAAGCATTCAGAGGAGGATGACGAAATAAATTAGGAACCTTGGAGTATTTGAGACGCAGAGTGAGAGGCGACAAGATCCAATTGTATAAATAGAAGATGAGATTAAACAAAGATGATATAAATAAGGTACTTAAAACTATCCAACCTGGAGGGAACACGTAGCAATATGGTTTTGAATAAAGAGTTGTGGATGAGTGGAATAAGTTACTAAACATCATCATTAACTTTGTCATGTATGAGTGATAATGGATGGGTTAGGTTAAGTAAAGAAGGAACTTGAGGGGGAGAGAGAGAGAGCGAGCAGATAAGGCCTCGATAACAAGAGATTATGATAGCTGACAAGGAGTGGGTTATGGTACACGGCGACAGCGGTTCTGGGAAATGTTCTTTATCAGTTCCTCCTCTCCTAGCTGCACCTCTCTCTCCTCTCCTAGCTGCTCCTCTCTCTCCTCTCCTAGCTCCTCCTCTCTCTCCTCTCCTAGCTGCTCCTCTCTCTCCTCTCCTAGCTGCTCCTCTCTCTCCTCTCCTAGCTGCTCCTCTCTCTCCTCTCCTAGCTGCTCCTCTCTCTCCTCTCCTAGCTGCTCCTCTCTCTCCTCTCCTAGCTCCTCCTCTCTCTCCTCTCCCTACCTGCTCCTCTCTCTCCTCTCTAGCTGCTCCTCTCTCTCCTCTCCCTAGCTGCTCTTCTCTCCTCCCCTAGCTGCTCCTCTCTCTCCTCTCCCTAGCTGCTCCTCTCTCTCCTCTCCCTAGCTGCTCCTCTCTCTCCTCTCCCTATAGCTCCTCCTCTCTCTCTCTCTCCCTAGCTGCTCCTCTCTCTCTCTCCTGCTCCTCATCTCTCTCTTCTCCCCTAGCTCCCTCTCTCTCACTCTCCTAGCTCCTCTCTCTCCTCTCCCTACCTGCTCCTCTCTCTCTCTCCCCGCTGCTCCTCTCTCTCCTCTCCCTAGCTGCTCCTCTCTCCTCTCTAAGCTCCTCCTCTCTCTCCTCTCCTAGCTCTCCTCTCTCTCCTCTCCTAGCTGCTTCCTCTCTCTCCTCTCCCTAGCTGCT